GCTTTTTGGTTTCGTTCTCTTTTATCAGCAATCTTACCGGTGCCTGTGCATTGACTCTCATGAAATTTCCTACTGTAAGAGAAACATGGAAGTAAATCTTTTTAAATTTCACAAAAAAAAAGGAAACAAATCTAACAATCAACTAAAGACTTGAAGATAATATTCTAAAATCACACATATATAACAATCAATATGTATAGGTAAATTTAATCAGTATATTATATCAAACTGATGATTAGATTACCTGATGAGATGTATAACAAGATGATGAAAGAAAAACATATTTGTGCTTTAGTCATGTTTGTTTTTGTTTGATGTCTTTGTCAGAATTGCACAAAAGTTCTAGAAATTTTGTGTGTTGATATAAAGGGCTATACACACATAATCACATATATATACTTTTTTTTTTGATAGGAATGTGAATATCATATAATATGAAGAGGTGAGGTTCTACAATGAAAGCATAACCTAAGTGAATGTAACCTTGCCAAAAAAGAAATAAAAAACAAGGGTTACATAATAAAAAACAAAGCGATGGGTGTCAAACAACGCATTATCGAATCCAAAGGATCATTAAGTTGCGAAAGACCCGTCTGTTCCTTCTAGCAGTGATCGTGTTTCTGATCTCCTTCTCCAAGGTCATGAAGACAGTAGAGGCCGGGATTGAGACTTGATTATGAAGAAGATTGTTCCTCTGCTTCCATATATGGTAAATCGCAGCCTGAGCCACCAACTTCCTTAGAACCGTGGGAGCAGTGGTAGAGCTGAGCCGTGTCCACACAAGAAGAGAAGACCAAGTATAGAAAGTGCAAGGAGACAGGTTTAGACGTAGGAGAATAAGCTTCCAAATCTGCTCGCTGAACACACACCTAAGAAAAAGGTGATCTCTAGATTCAGCAAATTGAGAACAAATGCAGCAGGCGGGAGAGATCGGCATGCCCCAAGAAATAAGACGGTCTCTAGTTGGTAGCCTGTCAAGTTGAGCTAGCCACATGTTAAAGGCATGCTTAGGTGTGGCTCCTTTGTACCAAACAGAGGATGACCAAGCCTTGGCAGGAGCTTTTAGTCTTAAACTATCCCAAGTCTCTGCAGTTGGGAACTTTATGAGGTTTGAATCACGTCCCAACCAACTGTAGAGATCATGGTCCTCCTCATCGTCAGTCAAGTGGACAGTGGAGAGCAGATCATGAACAGCCACAATTTGTGGAGAGCAGAGTCTCGGTATTCTCGCAGAGTAGTTTGCGAAAGCGTCAGCCACTGAAGAGAGTAGTGGAATTCTGAGTTTTCCGGGACCCTGCTGGCCACATATATATACTTTACCTTAGGTCACAGTCACACTAGCCCTAATATCACAGATACCAAACATAATTAAGCCCAAAAATATATATAAAAGGCCCAATTGTATTAGTCTGAAAGCTCATCTATGATTCTAAGGGGAGGGGTTTAATGGTTCATAATAGATTTAGAAATCCACAGCAAAATCATTTGTAGTACCCT